CTGCTAAATAAAAGGCCGGTAGTTCGAACCCAGCCAGCAGTCCCATGGGAAAAGGACCCAACAATCTGCTTCCAAAAAGATTATAGTAGAAAACCCCATGGGCCAGTTTCACGATGTCAGAGGGGGTGCTATGAATTGAAATTACCCAAACAGCACCTAACAACAATAATCCTGATAGGGGCAGATCACTAAGTCTTTCTCCCCCAGGTGGCTGGGTGCGTTTGAACCACCAACCTTTCAGTCAGTAAATGAGCGCTTAATCATTCACCCACCAGAGGGCTTTCAGCAATGCCTGGAGACATTTTTGGTTGCCACAACTCAGTGTGGAGGGTGCTACTGGCATCTAGTGGACGGAGGCCAGGAATGCTGTTCAACATCCTACCACGCACAGGACAGTCCCCATACCACAGAACTGTCCAGCTCTAAGTGGCAACAGCGCTCAGGTTGATAAACACTGAAATAGAGTGTTACAGGGCTGAAGAGAAGGGGCAGCAGATGTCACTTTAGCACGAGTATCAGCACCAGCAGATGTCAAGGTGGTGCCAACACATGGGGACCCCACGAGTGTCAGAGCAGACCTGTGCCCCGTAGGGCTTTCAGCAGCAGATTTTCCGGAAGTGGACAGCAGCCCTTTCTTCCAAGGTGCCCCGAGGTAGACTTAAGCTTCCCACTTTTCAGTCAGCAGCCAAGCCCATTACCTGTTCATAGCACCACCTGCAACCCCAGATGTCCCTTTGTTTGTTGTTGTTGTTGTTATGTGCCGTTGAGTTGGACCTGACTCATAGCGACCCCTCCTTGGGTTTCCGAGGCTGTATCTCTATAGAAGTAGATTGTCCCATCTTCCTTCCGAGGAGTGGCTGGTGGGTTTGAACTGCTAGCCTTCTGGATAGCAGTCAAATGCCTTAGGCACTATGCTACCAGAGCTCCCAGATATCCCTTTAGTGGTTACAAAAAAAAAGTAAAGAACCCTTGATCCACTAATTGCACTTACAAGAACCTAACCCACAGATGCATTCACACCTGTGTGTCAAGACGAGCACTCATGAATTTGATAACTACTTATTGTGGGGCCTATCTTCCAGGACTGGGGATAGTTCATGAGTCCCTGCCTTCATGGAACACACACTCCAGTGGGGAGACAGACAACGAACAGATCAAAAGTACATCAGCGGGGTGATTTCCGATCATCTTAAGTACCGTTGTTGTGTGAAGGAAAATAAAGCAGGGAAAGGAGAGGATGGGCCAGTGTGATTCGGGTTAGAATTCTCACCTTCCCTGTGGGAGACCTGGGTTCAACTCCCGCCAGCGCTCCTCATGCAGCCACCACACGTCTGTCACTGAAGGCTTGTGTGCTGCTTTCATGCTGAACGGGCTGCAGCAGAGCTTTGAGACTGAGGTAGACCAGGAAGAAAGGCCAGGTGATCTGCTTCTGAAAACCAGCCCATGAAACCCTATGGGTCACAACAGTGCCACCCCATTGTCTACAGGGCTGTCGCGAGTCAGGGGCCAGGTCGACACAGCTAACAACAACAAGGAAGATGAGGGTACTTCTTGGGTGATGGAAGCATTCTGTATCTCGTGGTGGGATTACATGGGTGTGTGCATTTGCCAAAAATCAACAAACTACACTTAAAATGTGTGTGCTAACTGTATGTAACTTACACCTCAGAAAGACTGAAAGTGTGTGCATAGGGGAATCCAAAATAATAGCCAACATATTATTATTGTTGTGTGCCGTCCTTAGCGCTCGTCAAATCTGAGGTGTGAACACACGGGTGTTTGTTGGAAAGAGATCATTTAAAAACAGGTAAAGCAAGCCGAGAGAATGGTGA